ACACTATGAAGTCTACGCTCCATGACGTCCACACCTGGTCGAATATATGCAGAAATTCGGAAAGATTCAAAGGTTAGCAACCAGACTAATACTGAAATTGATGGAAATAACGTGTGAGAAGTTGAAGGGACCGAACCTGACGACCCAGTCAGAAGGAAGGACGGACATGATTATAACATACTAAATTCTAAGAATTCAAAGGAAAGGAAGAGACAGAAAGTTTTAATTAAGAGAGCCAGGATCAAGAGGACACAGGTGGAGGCTGAAGACACATAAACCACAGGAATGAAAGAAAATATTACTTTAATATCAGGGTGGTTGAGGAGTGGAATGACTTGGACGAGGAAATACCGAAGGAAAACTCAATGCGCAGTTTCGAAAGTAGATATAATAAAGTCCGAGAGACCAGAAATCAGTGATGATGGTCAAGGTAGTCAGGGATGAGGAGCCAGGAACTCAGTCTCAATCCTGCAACTCGGTGAGCACACGTCGGTGAGTGCATAATTAACACACATAAGCAAATGATATCACCAGCTTTCTGATACAGTTCTCAGGCATTTGAAACCCTGCTCACTCTAGCCTTCACTCAAGAAAAAAAAACTAACCGCTAACTTACCTGTTCGGAGTTTACACCTGGTGGAAAATAACAGACTTGACACATTATAACATATGTTTTATTGAAGTCTATCAGACATTTTAAGCAAATATCCTAAATTTGCTTGTAACAGGTGAAATATAAACTTAAAATATATTTACAGATCTGTTCCTGTTAAACCTTTTGGAACCTATCTATCTCCTAGGCCTCTTGGAAATTATAATATTAACAAAGAAGGCTGAAATTGCTTGAATTATAAATAATTTTTAATATTTTTTTTAATTTAAATACCTTTCAACTATGTCCCAGTTCAGATGTCGTCTCATACACAGCATAGGACAGTGTTCTTAAGCTGGAAAACTTTAGCTTACAGGAACAAGACAGCGACCAGAGTCAGGTCAAGATCAGCCACATTCAGAAAAGTTTTTTTTTTTTTTTTTTTAATCAAGATAAGGTTTTCTTCATTTCGCAGTAATATAAATTTCTCTAGTCGATATCCTTCACAGTGGCGATATATAAGGACGAGTCAGACCATCAGAGGACACAGGCAAACATCAGTTCTCCACGATGAAGTTTGTGAGTAATCTGTGCTGAATGAGAATGTGTACATGTGTATTTTATGATCAAGCAAACTTAGATATATAAGTTTGTTTCTATAGCGTGAGTGATATAATCTTTCATGATATAAGAGAGTATATCAGTGATGTTTCTTCTGCAGACGTCAGTGTTCATGGTTCTCCTGCTGGCAGTGGCCGCGGTCCTCGCCAGCCCCGCCCCGATACTGATCAAGAAGATTTTACCGGTTGGCATTAACACAGCTCCTGTCAGGACGGTTCCTGTCTACTACCCAGTCTACCCTGGAGGCTTTTACAAAGGTGTTAACTTCGGACGGTAGACTCAGAGACGAAACCAAAGTTCGTCTAAGAGTATTGCCACTATGTGGTTGTTGAGAATCAAGCCAGTCAGCCAGATGTAAAAACTATGGCGTTGTTTGTCACTATTTTTACCCATCCTAATACTCTCCCCCTCATACTCTTTCACCCAAACATTTCCTCTTATTCTCTTCATCACTGTTTAACCCAAACATGCTCTTACTCTCTGTCATACATGTTAATCAATGTACTGTGTAAATATATTTACAAAAGTTATCCGCTTAAATCTCTTTAACCTAAATTGGAAAATAATTCTCCAAACAAATCGAGCAAAAAAGTTAGCTCTTTCAGGTCCTCATATCTCCTCTATACATTTACATACAATATTTTCTCATATTAATGAGATCACTTAAATAAGAAATCATTTGAGATCTTGAGAATGGTGATTATTTCAGCCCCAAAAAATTATTTTAAGGATAATTTATCCTGTATCAATTTCCTAAGGTCCCAAAAACATAACTTTTGCCATTCCAAAGCAAAACTAATTAAAATATATTTTTTAACATATTTGTTTCTCACCAAAACAATTTGGTCTGAAGAAAGGAACACATTCGTAATTACTTGCGCCCTTTCTGCTTATTAAGTTGAATAAAGCTAGTATGGACAACACGTCTTAAAAACGAAATAAAATGTATTAGAATAGTATGATAGACGAGGTTAGGATAGTGCATTGGCCTGCTAGTTTTACGTGTGTCTCGCCACGGGTTCGAATCCTTCGTTCGGTTAGTAGCTAAGGATGTTTATGCTGGAGTGTAAAAAATATAGAAATAAGAGAGGAAATGGCATTATCTGAAGAAATTAAATTTACGGATAAACGCAAAATAATTAAGTCTTAATTAAATAATAAAGGAACTGCAAATAATTGTGATGTACTGAAGGAAACTGATGACAGAAAATATTTTAGTGTTTTCATCTCTTCAGAAAAAAGAAATTTAATAAAGAATAGAAAAAGCAAAGAGGAAAAGCAACATGT